TTGTAGAAATTCTATTGGAAAACCACTGCTGCCATTGTGTAATATATTGTAAAGAGTATCACAAAGGACAGGGACAGTGCTCCTCCAAAATTCCTAACAATTGAATTCTAGGAAACAGAAAAAACCTGAATACTGTGGTATCAGCACAGAAGGTAATGCTTGACGTAAATTGGCCACTGGTAAACGTTAAGCATTCTGGTTTATATCTGTTGTATAGCGTGACCAAACAGTCATGGTACCATTACAATGTCTAATAAGTCTTAAAGAAATGATGAAGAAATAAAGTAATTATTATTAAAATAAATGGTATTGCGACTTGTTGGTCACCCTGTACTTTAAATTGTGTTACAAGTAAGTCTTCAAAGTTTTAAAACCCTTTACATCTTCAGTTTTAGTTACCAAATTGACATTCATCCCTTCGTTCTCAATCTACTGTCTGGCTGATAAACTCATCGTTTAAATCACAGCCAAGCTCGTCACTCTATCTTGCAATCTCCAATGACATCAGTAGTAAAATGGTCAGGATGAAAATAAATGGAATAACATCACGTTGGGAATAAAATTGTAAAAATTTAACTACATCATTTTGAACCTTTGACAAATATTGCAGGTTGCAAACATAGGGTCTGCGGTTATCTAAGGCAGACTCCAAAGTGTTAACAGCCGGCAAGCTGAAAGTTTAATGTGTTGGAGATTCAAGTACCATGCTGAATGGACAACCATTTGGGGGAAAAAAGCCATTGTTATAAGTCCCGGGGACCAGTAAAACCAAAACACAGAGACTGGTCTTCATCCATTTCATTCTATAGATGATGTTCTTCTTTCTCACGTGGTCAAAGGGGCTCAACTCCTGTTCCTGCTGAACTGAGCCAGTGCAAACAATATCAACTGTTATCAGCTCAGTAGGCACAGAAGATTGAGCCCAGTTCTTGCAGTTGTGGATCCTGTTTCATTCACTAATATTCTGTAGGAAATAGATCTAAAAGGTAGGAGGACCAAGTGACTCACAGCCATGTAAATGAGAGGCGGATCCCAAATGCGATATGAAATGCAAAGAACCACACTGTAGGCCTTTACCTGAAGATCATGTGCTTCAGATTGCCAGCAGTAAGTTGTAGTGAGGTTTCCAGCCAAATTCTTGCATTCTCCACACAGATCTACTCTTTGCCTCTTGTGTAGCTTGTGTTGCGCCAGTGCTTGTGTGCAAGTGAACAAAGAACTATTTATCCTAAATGGAAATAAATATCTGGTAAAGAGTTTTGTTGATCAGTGGGTATTTGAGTCTGAAAACAGAATCAGCTGAGTCTGCAGCAGCACCCAATAGAATGAATGGCACAAGGATTTTGAAGCCAAGTTGTAGTAGTACGTTGCAGGCAACCTCCAGAAACCATGTAGAGCTAAATATATTTTATTAGCATTCTTCTTATGAGTCTGTACTTTAATAGGACTCCAAAACTCAGTCTTGAACAAATTAAATCTGAGCATCAGTTAACAATGAATGTGTCAAAATACCTAACAAATGTGCTTGGGAATGGTTTAATGAATGACTAGCCTGATCCATGTTAATCACTCTATTAATAAGACTGATAAATGGGGTGTATGACTGCTTTAATCAGTGAAAACTTCTGTTTGCCCTTTTCTATATAAAATCTGCAGGGATATTTTTATTGAGGTTTATGTATTTAATGGGATAGGTTTTGTATTTATTAGTTGAGGGATGTCAATGTTGAGGAAAAAATTCTTTCCACTTGCCTGACAGAATTTGCATTCCATTTTAACCCAAAATAAATCTACAGTAAAACTCACAAATTGTTCAAATCGTATAATCGCCCGAGTCATACATCTGCCCAAGTTCCATTTAAAAGTTTAATGTAGATAATCCACGCAAGTTTGACATAATTTATACTTTGCATAAGTCATATTGAATGTACGGTCCCAACTGATACGACTTACGTGAGGTTTACTGTGTTGCGTAATTAAATTTTTTTGTAAAACAAAAACATATTGACGGTTTTTCCTTTATTCCATAGGAGAAGCAAAAGAGTTGGTTGGTTAGTGACAGAGGGAGCTGCCAATCTCCCTGAAGCAGCTAGTGGCTGAACACTTGTTTTTCCTGCACAGACGAAATGAGAAAAGTGAATTAGTCCGGGAACTAGATACTGGAGGAATGTGTTTTGCATCAAACAAAAGCCGTTAAATCCAAGAGTTTAAGGAGAAACAGCAGCTTGCTATGTAGCACTAAATGACACAAACGCTGAAAAATATTAGATCTGCACATTTTACGGGATGTCTCTTTGTTCCTGTGTTTTTAATATTTAAAATTTTATTAAGTTTCATATTCAGACAATCCAAACAAAACACAGCACACACACAGATAAAAGCAAGCTACGGAAGTTAGACTTAAAGCGGTTTTCAGAAGCACGCAATCCGCCGTGAACTCGAGCATACATCACAGGCACAAATAAATTACAGCCTGTTCATCTATATAGGCCACAAGTGTAATAACCCTGCCATTTAATCAATCTCAGGGCATTTAGACCACTTCAGGAATTGTACATGCTGCATAATGTAAGTCACAGGGAGGGGGAGAGAGAAAACTGTTGAGTGCTTCAGAATGACATTTCTCTTTCCCCACTTCAGCTATCCTTGTGGCCTGATAATTGGTGCCAAATTATAAACTAACCAATTTGTTCTGTTACTGCTGGGTCCATGAGGAACTGGTATGAAACTGCTCAAACTACAGCTTGACTTTGGGACTTAATAGCTGCCAGAGCAAGGCCTGGATTGCATTGAAACCCAGGTCCAGAGATGAATGAGGAGTCCTCACTTTTGGCTTGATACATTAGCAGAAAAAGAAAAGGGACTTATTCAACATTATTGTCCTGCGTGATGTCAACACTGGAGGTTTTAATCCATATTTAAGATATTTCCAATGTGGGACTTTGATCCATTTTGAAGGATTTCCACTGGCTGAAAGACAGGTCCACAAGACAATCCTGCATCTAGTGAAGGACAAAACTTGCTTGACTGACGGACAGCATGAGGTGGGAGTTGTGAATGAGTGAATGACCTTGTATAATAATAATAATACTTGCATTTGATATCGCGCCTTATCACGTTGTTGAGACGTATGTGGCCCTTTGAAGATTAATCATCCACTTACGACGTTTCTGGAAACATATAACAACTCTTCTGGCCTCTAAAGAGTGAAGCATTCTGAAGTTACTCATCAAAACACACAACCTGAGGAACTGTAATCAGTGAGAGCCGTAGACCAACGATGTAAATTGTGCCGACAGACAGACTGCGAACGGTGATCTGGAAATCCTGTCGATATTCATCCCCTGAGGTGCGGAACTTAGCCACTGTGAACATTGAAGGCATTCAGATATCTGTTCACAGAGTTAGCTAAGTCCTTCACCGCACGGGGCTTAGAAACAAGTCCTCCTCCAGGCGGCCTCAGCTTCTCCTCGTGTCCGTACACCTTTGTAAAATGGACCAGCTGATTGCACGGCACTCTGCAGCCCAGAGAGCCACCCAGGGTGCCCACCCTACTGTCGGCAACCTTCTCCCCCACGATGATGCACATGCATAGCAGATGTTTCATTGCTATGGTAGAGAATATTACAATCTCAAGGCCTTTTGATCTGCCGGTAAGTGGGATTGAGATAGATTGAAGTGTTTTTTGTTTTAAAATGAAGTAACTTTTTTTTTCCTTTTGGTCACAAATTACTATTTGGAAAGGGGCTCATTTCAGGAATGGGGAACTGAAGTGAGCATCAGTGCTTCTGTCACCCCCTCACCCACACCCTGAGTATGTCAGCACTAATGCCAGAGGATTAATAGGATCAAATATTTCGTTGAATTTTTTTGTCAAGATTCATAAAATCAACCAGCCAGGACAGTAGATATTTCAGTGCCCTAATCCTTACCCATGGCGCTTCTAGTTCCATTAAAGAGGTAGGAACTGGCGCAGACGTTCCTCTCTTGTCCCGTTCTCTGCGTGTGGCAGATAGATAGGAGGCACACCACATCTGCCTCTTTCTCCCAATGGCAAGATGCTCTTCTCTTTGAGGGGCGGTCGACAGTGGCCTGTGACGGGTTGGTAATCCCTGGCAATGTGATTTTACATTATTAAATCAAATCACTCTGCCAGGAACCCAGCCCACCACAGCAGATTCCATCCTTGGGTTCATCAGGCAACTCACACCTAGAACCAAACTAAGACTCGACAACAAATGATTAGCACAAGTTGCTGCTAATGATAACTTGTGGTGCTATTGACCGGCACCTCTATCATTACAGAAACACAGCTAAAAATGATCAAATGCAAAACCAAAATAACATGAAGGAAATCTGTGCAATGTGCGTTGGATCATATGATTAGTTGCAGGGAAAGCTGGCAAAACAACTGAGCAATGCTGAAAACTTTTCAAACTAACTGAGCAACACCCACTCCCTAAACAACAACAAGATTACATTTGTAAAGTGCCTTCCATGTCAGGAGGACTTCCCAAGGCGCTGGACAGTCAGAGTTTCGGACCCGAGCTGGGGGTCGGGATTGGGGAGGGTGGAGGTCAGGGTGGGGGGGGGGGGGAGCAGGGTGATCGAAAGCACGGTCGAAGAGGAAGGTCTTGAGAGGAGGCAAGGGAGGGTGCGAGGCGGAGGGACTGCGGGATTGAGTTCCAGAGGGTGGGGGCAGAGTGGTGGAAGGCCCGCCTGCCAATAGTGGGGGGTGTGGGGCAGGGGACGTGAAGCAGGCTGGAGCCCTCTGAGCTGAGGGAGCGAGTAGGATCCTCTGTGTGATAGGAAGCCAGTGGAGTCGGGCGATGATGGGGGCGGTAGGGTCATGGAGGGTTTCGGGGGCCTGCGGAGTGAGACAGTGGCAGAGCCGGGCGACGTTGCGGAGTTGGGGGAAGGCAGAGCGGGTCATGGCACGGATGTGGGGTAGAAAGGATATTAGAGGTTCAAACAAGACCCCAAGGTTCCAGACTGGCTGAGCGAGGTGGAGAGTGCAAAGAGGCACATGCAGTAAATTGTTGAAAAAAAAGACGCTTGTTGTAATTACATTTCAGAGATAAGAAGGTTGACACACATCATCCTTTCTTCTACTTACCCGCTGTCAGGAGTCAGCAAAGCAATGGATGGCATAAACTTGCTCCTGCATCCCAGGTGTCTGATAGAAGAGAAAGATGTCTGTAAAATAAAATAAACGTATGAATTTAATAACTAAGTGAATATTGACAGGTTAGAACAATGACCTTTCATTTCAGAGTTGCGGTTTAAATGCAACCCAGACTGGTGGAATAAGTTTCCTTTACTTCTATGGGAGGGACCTAAGATGATTTTCAGCAGACTTGACCCACTTCCCAGTATAATAGAAATAATAATCCTTGCATTTGATATAGTGCCTTATCACGGCTTCGAGAATTGACTTTATGTTTTGTGGGCGAAATACAGCAGTGTCCCGGCAACAGTCGTGGAGTGAGTGACACGCTCGACTGTTTAGAATGCTCCATTCACTCAAATCAGCCTCACCTTGGCAGACACAAAGAAATTCTATGACTTGAGTAAGTGCACACTTAAAACCGGAGGCACCGTTCCCCACCCCTCACCTTTCTGGAGAATAAATTCTCCCCTCTCAGGTACGAAGCTCTCTGGCCTAAAGCAGCTCAGCCTGTTCTCTGTGCTGACACTCAGACAGCTCATGATTGCATCTGGCATGTTTTTCTGGGCCCTGGGCACAGTTTGCTCTGTGACGGAATCGAGTAGAGGAGTGTGAAGAACAGCCCAGTGTTTTCTGACAAGCATGGCCGGATTCGTTCTTTTATCCGTTTCATGTCATGAAAGGTGGGCGCACTCGCACAGACTTAATTCAGTCAAACATAATAAGAATGGATGCCTGGGATGGTTTACAAGATTCAATGTAACAGGACTTCTGAAAGGTCTAGCCCTTAAAGGTTCAAATATTGATTCAGGATCCAGTAGAATGCCACACAGGGCTGTTTCTCCTGCTATGTATTCGCTATTCTGAGCGGTTATAGTAACCATTCAGCTCCTAAAGCTGCTAGCAATAGGGTCAGAGCTCTGCTGAGGAGGCACTTGAATTGGAAAACAACAACAAAATTACATTGTATAACACCTTTCATGTCAGGAAAACTATTATTTGCATTTTAACAGCATTGATAATCACAGCCTTCAGGCAGTCTGACAGAGAGGGACAATTCTTGTTAATTAACATCTCCTGACAGAAGCTCAGAGTTCCAAGAAAGAAAATTCTACGTCAAAGAGAATCTTGTACAGTAAATATGACAGGGTTTATCTATCTTGATAGCAGATTATGAGCTATTTAAACTTCATATTGAAACCATTTTTTCTCTTGGCTCAGGCAACTGGAGATTACTGTTTTGTGTTTGCTGAGACATTTTTGATCTTGGTCCCATACTGAATGGTAAATGAAGCAGGTGTGAAAAGGTGGGTAAAAGACCAGCATTTAATTAAAAGAAACTTTTACGAACATTTTGCCTGTTCTTTAAAGAGGTGGTACAGAACGGATCAGCTGGCTGTTTGCTTGAACCCGTTCATTTCCAACTTGTGTAGTAACTCGGTTTGTGTCGCATCTCTGTTGCTGGTGCAATATTAATCACTTATTTGCCAGGTCCTTACCCAGCAATTACAATGGATTTTGGTAGCTTCCTCTGTACATCTCTCAGCCACTCGCTTTCCGTAACTGAGGTGCTACACTTTATTGTTCATTAAACAATAACTTAGTCTCTGTTTGTAGACCATGAAATTGAGGTTCATATCAAGTAATAACACACTCGCTATTGATGAGACACTTCTGTGTTCTGTGTAGATTAGACAATAGAACATTATGTTACGGGGACATGAAACAGTCTGTACGTACTACTGTGTATAGTGCGAGATATGTTTCTCTATATTATATTACATACTGTGTCAATGAGGCATGTAATGAGGCTGTATAATAAGACTCTCTCTGTTATGGAGCCTGTTTACAGGAGAAACATTGCAGTCCAGCTGCAGGGTAGTATATACGTCAGACTGTGATTGCTAGCGTGCTGGCTAAGCTCGCCATGTGATCTTGCACATTGTGCCACGAGATATTTCTGGTTCAGACACTGACTTGCAAATGTTCGTGGCAAAAATCTCGGTTAAAGTAGACATCCAAAGCGATTTTCACACTCTGCTTGTCCTCAGCAGAAGTCCAGAAACATCCTTCGCAAGTTGAGCTGGTGCCACAGGAACGTGAAGCAGAATCCACAAAGGAAAGACAAACTGCAGGGAGGACTCGTCCTCAAACACCAGCTTCTCTGTCGATACATTATTTACTGTAACCGGAGACATTTTACACACATCCATGCCCTTGTTGAATACTGTATTCGTCTTCCTTTGGTCTTGCTTTTCGTTTCTTTCCTTCCCTATGCTTCCTCCTCCTGAACCCCATCCCTCCACCTCCCTCACTCCACCCCTCGCACGCACGAAAGAATTGAGGATATAGCTGAGGATTGGAGAACCTCGTAAACTTTTTTGTTGTTGAAATTTCAGATTGAGCCACTCCCAAGTCTATGTTGCCAAAGCTCCCTCTACACCTCCAAAACGGACACCTAAGCACCAACCTCAGAAGCAAGACAGCAATACCACAACTTACTTCCATCTCCTGTACAAGACTACATTTTCCTCTGAATGAGATTGCAAATTTATTCCCAACTGTAGCATTTTTGGGGGGGTTGTACATTGGAACCCAAAAGGAAGCAATTCCTCTGAAGGAAACTCAGTACTTTTATCTCACCTGCATCTCTCGCCCTGCTCCACACCCACACACCTAACCTGACGTGCGCTACTATCACTGTTTCAGTTATTACCGCACCTGTTGGGTGGAGACTACTTTTCTTTTATTGTGAGGTGCCTTGGGCTACTACTGTGTGCCTGGATTTCATGCTGAGCAAACAGCTTGTCCATATCATTTATTTCATAGCGATTAGAATCGCAAGTGTTTGTCATACCCTTGAGAACACATCGTGGGAACCAAGGGATGTGAGAGTTGCAGCAGGTTTGCTGGAAGACATAGGTCAGTGTCACCCTGTGGTTATCTACAAGGTAAAGTTTATCATCTCTTTTATGGTAGATGGAGAAGGGGGAGCAGGAGGTTTCTGAGCTTGTGTTTCCCCTACAAAATATAAAGTCAATCCACTTTACAGTATATTATGTGAAGGCATTTCATCTGAAAAAAGCCGAGGATTTAATGTTCTCTCGAGCCGTGCAGACAGACACGTTACAGGGAAACCAAATGACAACATCCGTGAAAACTTTTGAGATGTCTGGATGACGTAAAAGGCGCTGTACAAAATGGAATTTGTTGTTGCTGATGTTGTTTGCTATGGCACTAGCTTTAAATAGACACACGACAGAGTACAGAATAGCAAATGCGAACAACTTGCTGAGTGATTTGTTCGCAATGCGGTCTCATTTACAGAATGTCTTGGGGGATTTCCATTGACCTCAGGAATTAGATGGGGTTGGGGCTGAGCGAGTTCCTGCAGATTGTCACAATATACATCCATTACTGGAAGCCTCCATTTGAGCCACTCGGTTCCTTATCAAGGAAACCCGTTGAGAAACACTTAGACATCATCAGTTAGGCAAAGAGGAGCAAGAGGAGGCCATTCAACCCACCAGCTATCTTATTTGATCATAGAAGATCTTTTTATCCCCTTTCCCAGTCTTTTCTCCGCATCCCATAATACCCTTATTTCCCCAAGTTTCCATCTACTTTTTAAACAACTCAATTGATTCTGCATCTACAGCTTTCTGGGGCAGTGCCGTCCACATTTTCACAGGTGTCTGTGGAACTTAAATGCTTAGTTGTACTGTATAAAAAGACACTCGGAACAGTTTATCTTCTGTAGGACAAGCAGCGGTGAATCATTGTTACAAGAAGGTCATTTGGTCCATCGAGTCTCTGCTTTTGTTAGCTCCTTTACTGGTGCTAATATTCTGTAACTCCACTTCCCTTCTCTTTTCCTGCACACGTTTACAGTGTTTCTCTTCCAATACTTATCCTATTTCTTTTTAACAAGCGAAGTGAGAAAAGCGCCCACGTGAAAAAGGGGTGAGGTGGGTGTGGGTTGATCTCTTAGGATCCATTCAGAACGATTTTTATAAGTTTGTTCCCAAGCTGTGATTCATAGTTTCTACACAGATGCTCTACGTTCCTTGCTCCTCCCTTCCCTTTTTCCCCTTTTGTACCTCAGGACCAATGATTCTCTGGTATTCCATCTGCAAAAAGCCAAGGAATTAATGTTCTCCCGAGCTGTGCAGACAGATCGGTTTCAGGGAAACCATCTGTGAAAACTTTAATAAAGGCATCTTTTTTTGAGAATGTGAGCGTTTGGGAGCCCGTTCCAGCTTTCCCTCTGTGCTCACAGACTTGTAAAGTTCAAATAAAAACAACAGATGCCAAAGAAACCGAGGCTATGTTTGTGGCCCCTGCAATTGTGAACACAGAACTGAAGGTGTTTGAGTAATTCCTTGCATTAGTTGTCAAATACATAATTAAGGGCAACTAATATCTCTGCGCACCTCTCTCTGCGTACCTGTGTTTTGCACTTGACTAAACCCAATCCACAAAGTTTGAACACGAACCATTAACCCAAACCGCAAATCAGACCCTATTGTAAACATTTTATGGTCTCTGCTATCAATTGGGAGGCATCAGCCGTTGCAAAAAAAAATGCAGTGTTGGTCATATTTTACTGAAAGAGTCTTTTCTAAGGAACAGATGGAGCCCCTGAGCAATCATTTTCTAAACTCAAAGATATTTACGACTCCTGGCGTAAAGTTTCTGTTCATTAGAGATCTATTGACGCCGTGTTACAACAGGTACGAGACTGAAAATCTCACTCAACCACATTCTCACTCAGACAGATGCCTGCCAACACAGATACAGCCCAATATGTTGAACACAAGCAGTCTGTGAATTGAGGCAGTAAAAGTGAAATCATGTGGGAATATGTGAAAACAAGATCTACCAAAAAATGCTTTGAACAGAAGATGAAGTCAAGTCTAGGGCAGCAACATTGACAAGCACGCTCACAGTTCCTCAATAAATGATGTTTTCCTCTTGTTGTTTTTGATTCCCCTCTGTACTCAAGGTTCATGAGCGTGTTCTCCCCCACTCCTAGCCGTCCTGATACAATGTTGAGAGCTCAGTAAGCAGAAATTGTCCAATTCAGCAGAAGATGAGCGTCAGAAACAGTCTGTAACCCAGATTGTCTGACCCTCATTGACTCCTTTATGACTTTAAACCTTAAGAGTTTAGGGGGATACACTTTGAACCTCTGTTCAATGCCTTCAAATGGACCAGATATAACAGCTCATCACATGAGAACTGTACATGTAAAGCAACATTTTGATAGGATGTGCCAACTTGGTTGGCATAAACTACAGATAACAAAAGAAATGTGTGGTATAGAAGATATATAGCAATGGACAGCAATGGATTACAGGAACTAACTATTGTGTGGTAATGGTTTTTTTTAGCACCCGAGCGTAATGCTATTTTGGTAATCCAATGCCATACCAAAGCATTTCCTGTTATGCCATATCTTGGCATCTCAATTACAAAACAGCAGATGCTTTCAGACGTTTGCAAAGTTTGTGTTAGATGGAGGTAGGAGGCCATGCTGGTTGTCATTGCTAGACCTGTGATGCATGTGAAGCCATTGCTGTGACCGCACATCATTAGTGGGCACACGAAGAGAGCTGTGTGGAGAGCGGAAAGAAACCCGGGCAGCGGAGGTAAAGAGGGGGAGCAAGATTGTGAAGGGCAACAACAATAACTTGCGTGTATATAGCGCCCTTCACGTGGGGTAGAGTCTCGGAGCGCTTCTAAAGCACGTCGGGAGAGACAGCATCCCACATAGGAGCGGACCCAGTCACGAGGGAGCGACTGGGGGGGGGGGAAAAGGCTGATCTGCCAGAAGGTGGGTGTGTGGGTGAAGCAGGACGTGCATCATATCTTGCAAAATGATTCAAAGCATCAGAGTGACGATCAGGAAACCGCACCTCAGGAGTCTCAAATCCTCCAGCCCGCTACCATCACCTTTACCTCGAACACTCATTTTGAAACGCAGAAACTGGAAGCAGTAAAATGAGGAATTAAGTCACAAGAGGGGGGAGTTTGGTCAATGGCCTCTGCCTTTTGTGGATCTGCCCCCGACTGATGCAATAAGCCGAATGCAAACATTAATTTTATTACTGCATACAGCTGGACAGGAAGAGCTTGACAGACATTATCGTCTGGTTGTATCAGAGAGGAAGCATGATTCAATGACCACAGAATCAAAACTTTTTAGTAATGGGCGGGTGAAGAGGGGGAGCTTCCTGAAGCAGTAATGTCACCAGTTAAAAATAAAATATCACGATATTATCAGACACGCAATGAATAGACTTGAAACAATCCTTTTGAGGGAAAGCTGGCATATACTCTTGTCTTGCTCCACGCTGCCAAAATTGGTCATCTCACAGCACCCTGAACCAGCTGTGAATGCCTCCAGTGTCTCGGACAGACAATAAAAAAATGTGCCTTTTAGAGAGAATCGAGCTGAGGGAGAGAAGCTCAGGGGCGAGAGAGAGAGAGAGAGAGAGAGAGTGTTATCCCTGGACTGTTATCTTGTGCTGTCTTGAAAAACAAGTCTCTGAAGCCCTTCAGCTTCATTTGAAACCCAGGCTACAGAAATCACAGGATAAAGAATAAAAATTCCATTGTACTAAAAACACGTCAAAATCCAACAGGTGGCGAGAGTCTAAAGAGAAAGCTTAAAGCCTTGCTATCATAATAATAATAATTTAGTCACTCAAATCCACGACGGTTTGTGGGACACTGCAGCAGTTAGAAACCCGTCGCATGAAACTCAAACATCGCTGCTGGTTTCCATCGGTTGATTTCTGTTCATTTTGTTAAATATTTGTATTAAACATCAAATACCGGTGACATCATTAGAGGAAGTGGGTAGTAGTCACGCAGCCTAGCAGTATGAGGGAACTGCATTAACCCACAGAATTTCCTCCCCCTCCCTGTTAATTACCGTCACTCTGTCAATGTTAACTCAGCGCTGACAAGATTTAGTAATCCTTCCCAGTTGTCTCCCGATGATATCAGCTCACTGTTTAAACAAAATCCAAAAATAGATAGAAATGAACGAGACAATGTTAAAATTACACAGAATTACAGAGTACTCACCCTGTACTGAGCTGTGGACTGAAAGCGGCTCACATCAACATTCAGGAAGGAAAAGGCAGGCCATTGCTGTTCTTTCAGTGCGCACAAGTTGTGGCTGCCATTAGATAAATAAGAATCGGTGGCTCCACATGATATGTAATACGGTGGGGGGGGGGGGGGGGGGGGAGACGATGGGGAGGGGGTGGAGACGGGAAGTGGGGTTGTAATCTTGTATTTGATTTAACATGTAGGAGGTTTAGCTTTTACACTGATGAACTCTGAGGAGCAGCTACGAGAGATCCATGGGTTCTCACTGGAAAACATGATGAGAGACATGATCCATGTGCTGAAAGTCATGAAGAGAAGGGAAATCGGAGATGTGCTTGTGTTGTGCTGAACTACAAGTGGAGGCCATAATTAAATGTGAAAGAAAGTATTAACTACAACACTTGAAAGAGAATAAAGTGGCTCCGAGCACGAGGAATGTAGAATCATTTAAAGAATTCATATGGACAGGTTCTTCGTTTATCTGATGTACAGAGATATGAACTTGGTGCTGAGTTGGAAGAGAAATGAAAGCAATCTAAATGAGGTCAACTAGTCGATCTCCGTGTGTAGATCCTTGTTGAGCTCGAGCTTACTTTGTTTTCACCTCTTTCCGGTCTCTCATGCCATGCTAATATCTGACCCAACAAACATGGCCTTTGCAAATAGAAATTGAAGAGACAGGCTGAGCTGAATGGGTTTTCCTCCTTAAACTTGGGCCCTATTTCCTAAAATGATGTTCCGCTGTCTATGGGTTCCTCTCCCGCTTCTGCACAAAATATCTCCTAACCCCAGAGTACATGGAAATAGCATGAAACTTCAAAAATATGTTTAGTGAGTTTCTATCAGTGTGGCACAACACACTGAAGTCTTGCAGAGAGGTAATAATAATAATGCTTGCATTTGGTATAGCGTCTTATCACATCATCGAGACGTCTCAAAGCGCTTAACAGGATATGCTGTAAAGTGGGTTTGACTGTGTTTTGTGGGTGAAACGAGAATTGAGACAAACTGGGGAAAAGGTTAAACAACATCCAGTATATTTAACACCTCTTGAAACATGAACCCCATCACTGCAATGTGTTTTCCCCTCCAACTGGAAATAAAGAGCCATCAGTGTTCAAGAATTCACCTAGGGAATAAATAACTCAATCTTCAATTGAAAGCCGTATACTCTAAAGCCTTTCATTTTTTTGGATGGTGAAGGTGCCACTTCCTCGTGGAAGAGCTTGCTGGATTCCAACTTCTCTTTGTCAGTTGCATTTTTCCCCAGAATTGGGGAAAAATACTGCATATTGTATTAAAAAAAACGAGAACACAAAACCTAAGAACTGAAAAGCCTTTGCTCGATGCACCAATGCAAATATTTTTCAGAGGAAATTGGGAGCAGCAGTGATGCCAGAATGACTGGCAAGTTCCACTCCTGTATAGCGAGTGTTTAGCCTGGAAGGTAGTTTTCCTTGATGGCTTATTACGTTTGAGAGAGAATCCAAAGATAATATTGGGAATTTCCAAGCTGGACTCACTTCTGCTCTACCTCCTGTACTTACTTTATAAATGTTGGGTTTATGCATAATTTGAAAGATATTCTTCAGAGATAGCGTGATTATGCAGAATATGGGTGGCCAGGAAGTAAGACATAGGTCTGAGACTAGCTGAATGCATGCCCAGGCTATTAGTGGAAAAGATATGGCTTTTCTTCACAGGGTGAAATAGAGGAGAAACATAAGCCGATCACCCTGGTCTCTCAGAGGCTGCCTCCTCAGTGACATTTGAAAGAGTTAGCAGAGGTAATTAAGTGAAACAAATGATAAATAATATCATAATGATAAAGAACTAAACACATTCAATTTGATGACTAAAAATGACCTGTTTATCAGTTGTTGCATTTCATACTTCTACAATTCATTGATCATTTGATACAGGAACTTGGCAGCATTAGAGCAGAAAACCACTACACAAGTCATTGAGTTACCTACCACCTATAGCGAATGTTTTATAGTTGATATGAGTGGACTTTCATTTTCAGGCGAAAGAATATCTTTTCTTTTTTTTTAAAAAGATGTTATTGGATTCTATCCCATGGTGTTGGGTTCCTTAATGTCACATGTTCTGTGTGAGTGTCTCTCACATGACACACGCACACAAGCCCACAACTACCAGAGAACAAGTAGTTCTCTTCAGAAATTACAAAGGTGACAGAACAGCACAGCAAGCAAGGTTTACAATTCTTAAATATCAATTAATATCTGAACTCAGGCAGGTGTTACAGCTTACCCTACAGCTCAGTGCAATTTTCAATCGGTCTCCTTTTGCAAAAGTGGCTCTAAAACATTTCCAACCGAATGAACGTTCAGCTCCCACCAAACCGTACAGGCATCAAGTGATGGAATCCAGCCTTCATCATGTAAGATACCTGCCAAGGCAAAAGTTGTGTGATAAGCATTTGCTTTAACAGTGCAATGGATTATTATACTACCATGATGTATACCTAGAGTACACTAGATGATTGCCAGTTCCTCATGGTAATACATGGCAGTGTGGGTGATGCAGTAAATTAGCATGTTTTGCTTCATTCCTGGGGTTTGTGTTCAGCCCAGAATGATGGTCTCTCTCTCTGTAGATTGCAACATTCCTACACTAAATAATTTAAGGCAATGTCAACCCACCGAGCACGATGTCTTGATGCAAAACTACCGATAATCTTGGACAAATCGTAATCCCTTATCGGCAGCTTCCAATAAGGGAAATGGAACTGACACACAGTAGATAGTCATCTCTAGTATTGCAGCTAAGCAGAGAGTGTTAGTCTTCAGGTGGCTAAAGCTATACCTGGCCTGGGCATATACCTGATGTTACAAAAGGAATGGATTGGGGGGAGAGGGGGCTGTCTTCAATCACCTTGATTAACACACACTCAGAAAGATCTATCCATTAGATCTCTATGTTGAAACAATAAAATTGGTAATGTATTGTGTCATAAATCAATTTCAGAAACATCAGGGAGATACTAGAAGCAAATTCCAACCACGGGCAAAAGAAAAGTCACAAAAAAAGTTCTAACCTGAGCAGAGAGAAGGGCTATGTCAATTATTTACAAGCTATTGATCGACTCCGGGGTCTGAAGTGACATTATAAAAAGTCAAACAAAACCTGACGACTTACCTGTCATGCTAACTGCACCCCGAGACTGAATTAATATTTGCTGTAAATTCAGGGAGAAGGATTTGACATCTTTCACAGCATTTAGCAGACGGTAAATCTTTGTTTGAACGTAGTAGGCTTTATTGACGGTGTGGGCAACGATCCTTTGATCTGGTAGTTCGGGTTATTTAAACTTGACTTCTAATATTAATAATCCTGGCATTTGATACAGAGCCTTATCACGTCTTCGAGATATTTACATTAGGTGCTCGGCCAAGCATTGGGTGTAGGGCCTAAATTCCTGATTACGTGACTTCTCATCATGTGATACGATTTGGACTTGAACCACTTTTTTCTTGATTTCCTTCCCCCAGAGAGATTAACAGAAGAGGCAATGTCTGCTCCTACCTGTTCTAATTATACTGGAAATTACGCTGCTGGTTAGTCAGTTAAAAAAAATTCTCATTCCTCTTTTAAGATTTTTTCAGACTAAACAGTCTCTTTTTTTAAAAAAAAAATGTTGTAGATCTGGCTTCTGTTTATAAAGGCGTTCCTACAGCTTTTTGTCCAGTGTATATTTGGCAATTTTCAGAGCATCCTGGAGGTCCTACATTACTTGTTGATGCTCTTGATACCGAAAGGTCAACTGAAGTGTTCGTGTCTTTGAACCTTCCACAGCGGATTTCAGCGTTGGACTCAAAAGCAATGTTTCTCACTCACTGTACCATGAATTTGCAATTTGTATCACGGTGGCGGCGGAAGGAGGGGTGTGTGGGAGTTAGGGAGAGACTGGCTGAGGATAACATCTGTCAACAGGGAGACGAGACCCTTTTTTTTTTAACCTGTGGTGTTCAAATGCACGGGGAGCAGAAAAGCAGAGAAAAAACAAACAGCTGCACATAAGGGACAGCTTAGCTTGTCTCCTGTACATGGTACGGAGAGCAGGATGTAAAGTCTTTACCTCTCTGGCTGCCAGGCACATCTTTACACAATTTAGTGGAAGTTCTGACTAAAACTGAGTATGAGGCGTTTACGTTTAATTACGGAGTCTCAGTTTCTGAAACTGCTCTCACTAAAATCACTGCAGCTAAACTGATGTGCGAGTACATTACAATCATGAACCAGCAGATAGCTGTGCCGACTGCTACCTGCACTGTTACCATTGCATTTTTTTTTAGCACTGTTTCAAAACGTGTTGGTGGTGGCCATTATGTCCTGACGTCATTGTGCCAGTGTATCATCCGTTGTGTGAAACATAATATTTAAGAAAAGAAAGGGAGTTAAAAGCTTTCAGATGAGCAGGAAGGGAAGGGAGAAAAATCAGTGGACAAAAATTGGCAGAGATAAAATATCCCATGGTCACTTCCAGGACGTCTGCGCAACGACTTGTTTGTTTGAAGTACTAAAAACAGCTGCAAAGCGAATTCCACGCAGTTATGAGGTAACTGCTACAGAATAACACTGTTCTTTGAAATCTGCAGTATTCCTAGGATAGCACTGATGATTAGAAATATGTACTTTTACATAAAGACCTGAAATAATACTGGATTGATGAGGGTTTCCTGGAAAAAGGTTTCCTACGCCCAGTGAATTTGGATTATTTTGGTCCAAATTACCACAGGCAAGCCACAACTGCTCAGGGCCAAAGTGCCCATTGACACCTGATAAAATTCAGACCAATTCATGATTCTAATACAGAGATGCCATAAAATATACTTTGCAAACTTTGCAGGAAACACAAATTTTATAAGCGCACAGTAGGAGCAGCTCTGCCTAGTTGTATGTTTTGGCAAGGGAATGTAAGGGAGTTCTGTGCTTCTATCCTAGACTCTTAACCAAGCTGGGAGACCTGCACTCAGGGAATAAAAATGGGGAAAAAAATGCTCTGTTCCTCACCACTAACATAACATAAGGGTGGCTTGACTTAGATGCACTGCACAGATGGATGATCAGAAACGTACGCAAACTTACAGACAGACGCAACAGACATAAGATTGGCGGATCGCTTTCCGGGGTGAATAATCCCTCCCGAGAAAATACATTTTGGTCACTCAATCCACGACTGTTTGTGGGATGTTGCTGTGAGAAATTGGCCGCTGCCTTTCGCCCACAAAGCACACAGTCGCTACACTTTACACTGTGTATTCTGTGAAGCGGTTTGAGACGGCTCAACGATGTGATAAGGCGCTATATTAAATGCAAGGATTATTATTATTATTATTAGATACATAGAGAGAGGCCCACAAATATACGGACAGAAACACAGACACTCACACACACAGATCCTGGGACATAGATTGACAGCTGCATGCAGAGATGCAAATACTTAAACCAAGATTAACTAAGAAGGAGCTGGCATAAAGTACAAGAAACATGCGCTTTCGTTCAGTCCATGTTCAATTTTCCTCGAAGTAATTGCGCTTGGGAAAGTAACAGAGCCGTATTCTAAAGACAGGAACCAGCTCATTATTTTTAACTGCACGAATTTCCATTCACTACATGCCACAGGGAGACTCTGTTGCTCTCGTTCCTCATGATAAAATTCACAGCCTTCCGATCGTTATCGTCTGATTTTGATGAAAGGACAAGCAATGTAAAAATAAAAAATATGGTACAATTACGAGTGGCTTATTCGCTTTATCCGAATCCAAGTTTAACTTCCAATAAGTTTTTTTCTCCCTGTTTATCACCTGCCTGGTGTTTTGTACTGATGGCTGTGCTAACAGTTTGTGACATCTGTTTCAGGATGCAGTGTGCTGGTCAAAACCTACAAAAAAGAGAATATTTGGGCTGCCCTCAGGACCTCAAGACACTGTACCCGGATGGAGCATGTGGTGCTCCCTCGCCTCCTTCAAGACCCGTCTCAAGACCCTCCCCTTTGACCGCACCTTCAGTCACGCTCCTGTCCCTACCCTCACCACCCCCACCCATCCTGATCCCAACCACCAGCTCGGGTGTGGATCCCTGACTGTCCAGCGCCTTGGGATGTCCTCTTGACATTGACGCTGGGTCAATGTACTTTGCTGTCGGAGGAAGGAAGGGCAGCACCAGCTCAGTGTCCCGAGACACCGTCCTGAGGACGCTACTTAAATGCAAGTTGTTGTTGTTGACCGCAAAATGGCTGCATTAAAAAAATTGTTGATCTTGCTCCACGAGCACTTCTCCGTCTTTAGTTACGCACTTTGACTCCTTAATTTGCAGCTTCCTAGTTAGTTTAGGGAGTTGTCCTCATTTGGTCAGGAAGTCGCTGCCTTTTTATGACTGCAATTTCTTTTACCGTTTTATTTTTAAGAAAGAAAAACAATCCTCGCGCTGGGAACGGGAGACGATCAGAGGATTTCTCCCCGCCCGAGGGGCAGTATTCTCCTCTACGGCTCACAAAGGGCTCCCAGCCAGCAATCAGGACACCATAATCCCTCTCCGCTTGCCTGAAGGTTATAAGGCAATTGTGACTGGATCAGAGAGGCAAGCTCTCCTCTTGTTAGGAGAGGTAAGTGACGCCTTGTTTGTTCGGCCAGTTTATCACCAGGCGCCAAAAGGGTGGTCATGAGTTCTCCTCTTTCTCAGATCACAGTCTGCCCAGAGGATTGTTAGCAGCTTTCTCACCTTCAGATTCCCCACCAAAGCTTGATTGGTAATAAAGATTGCTTTCAATCCAGCTCCTGTTTGCCCGGGGTTGGGGGGTGGGGGCGAGAAGGGGTCCTTTAAATCATTTGTAATTGAGGCTGAGCCTTTTCAAAGCTTCTGACTAATTAAAGGTTTTATAAATGCCATTAGCAAAGCAAGTGCAGGAAGGAGGGAAGAAACAATTTGAATTCCCTTTGAAAACGAAAGGGAGCCATTTCCTGCCTTGTGATAATTTACGAGCGCACCGGCTTTTATGGAGGGCCAGATGCAGACAACGCACATCTTTCTCTGCCTGTTAGCATTTAGGCAGCTAACACACCTCGTATATCAATGACATCGAAACAAAGCACCTCAAGGTATATTCTGAAATGAAATATTATCAAATCTGTATTATATACAGGGTGACCAAAGAGTCATATCGTGATATCGAACTACTCTTATCTAAAAATAAAAATTCTCATTTCTTTTAAGACGTATTAAACATTGTAATGGTATCACAAATTTTTGGTCATCCATATATATATATATGTATATATATATATACATATATATATACATGTATATATATATGTATATATATATGTATATATATATATATATACACAGTGAAAAGATTTTCCAGACATGTTGGAATCAATGCTGTTT